TTTCATCGCTTGTAGGTAAAAGAGCTTCTAAACCTTCTGCCAAGCGGGCACGTAAATGAGGATTATATAAACGTTGTTGAGACTCTATTAACACTATGATCTGTATAATAATGTAATATACCCAATTATTTCATTAACTTGCACTAATAAACATTTACTGTACATATTATTGTTACCTCACCTCCGTTAGTACAGGTGTCAAGAAAGATGGCCCTTGCTCCTCAAAAATATTTGGATTCAGACGACGCAATAGATACAAAAATCTAATGGTATTTTCTACCACGAATTCAGGAATGCATCTATGTGAAAACAGTATTTTGGTAAATAGAAAAAAATATCAATGTAATTAAAGAACACAAGATATTTTAACAATACCTCAAAGTATCTGGAACAGCTTCTGGTAAAGGGAACGTTACCACTTTACATTCTTTTGGAATGTAATCATTCTGCTCATTTTCTCCAATTTTTGTATCATTTAAATATACTTGCACTAGCCAGAATGCTGTTGTTGCATGAAACTTTGATAAGAGCTTTAACATTTCTGGCACTAATAGACTCGTCCTTAAAGATAAATATCTGAAATTTCAAAAATATGTTATAATTATTAATTATTAAACAATTATCGTAAAATACATATTTCTTTTGTTTTACTTTTAACGTACTTGGTCATTTCTTGTTCCATACGCCGAGTTATTATTTTTAGTACTTCTGAACTACCACCGCTCAGTGCTTCTTCAGATTCTCTTTGCATTCTTACTAGATTCTGATTTGTTCTGCAATTTTAAATATCATCACTTTAATATAACTTCCATATAAATTACAGTTAATTATAAACAGAAAACTCACAAACCTTAAAAGTTTATCTAATACTACTCTGTAGCCAAGGTCTAATGCTCTGTGAGTTAAGAAAAAGCATTCAGTAGTAAATCCAAAGGTTTTTGCAGCTGGCCTGGCACCACCTTCTGATGTTGGTATCAAACAAGTTTCTGAAGACATACCTTTTAAATGTACAATCGGATTTACACATTCATCCTCCTGATTATTGATCTAGACAATTTTTGTAAAATACTATCTGTTTAAAGTTTTAACGAGTTAATCTTATTTTACCCATGCTTTCATAAATTGACTGACCTCTGCTGCACAGTATGTTGGATCAATTTTAGGTACTTTACATTCGTTTGGTTCAATGCAAAATGGTTGACAAAGACGCAATAGTACATTTCCTAGATTTAACATAAAACCGTCGGAAACCCACAGCATCGGGCTGAAATGGACCTCATTCTGGGTATTCCAAATTTTTCCTCTATTTGCATTTAAATGAAGGCAATTGCCTATCCACCGTAAGGTTAAATGGCGAACTTCTGTAGAGCATTTTAACAGTAAATGGAAAATCTTTTGTAGTGATTTATTTAGTGCACCCAATGCTGTCCAAATATAGTTTTCAGTACCAGCAGAAGACTACAAGCGAATATATAAAAAAAAATATTATTCCATACATAGTTTAATCAAATTTTCCGTTTTTTTTCCTTTTTCGACATTTTACTTACCTGCTGTAATGGGCGGTCAAAATAATAGAATCGTTCTGTCCTTGTTTTTGATAAACAATTCAAACTAAAAAGTGCACCTAATAATGTATCTTCATAAGCTCGACCTTGCTTGCTTTTAGGAGTACTATGATCAATTACCAATTTTGCTAAAGGTTCTATGGAAGAGAAGAGATGTAATATAGTAAACCAATATTGACGGAAATTGATAGTATCACATTGTGCTGCTTCTTTATAAATTATATCAAGAATAGGTCTAAAAGACGTGGCTATTGCATCTGTAGCATTTTTTTCATTTTCTGCTTGCAACTCAGTAATGATACCGTAGGTAAATGAAACAAGTTCTGGTTTCGGCTCACTTGTATCTGTGCATAATTCAACAAATTGATTGTGAATCTGAAAGATGTAAGAAAATTAAGCTACATTCTTTTAAATCTGATACATTTGCTGAACTAAGCAATGTACAAATAAACATTCCATAGATAAATTTAAATTCACGTACCTCTTGCTCTTCGAATAACTCTGGTTCTTGCAATGCAACACTTGCATTTTGTAATATAACCTGACGTATTTTACAAAGAATATCAGAGATTTCGAGTGTAGTTTGATATTGTTGTAATCGACAGTAGCTTTCAAATAAATACGGTATTACTTTTTCCTCTGTTGTATGAGAATCACTAAAACTTTGCTGAGAGTAATCGATAGGTACTAATTTGGATTTAATATCAGGTAACATTAATCGTTGAAAAACTGCTTGTTCGATAGAATCAACGTCAAGAAAAACCAATTCACGGTTTTCATGTACGTTCGCTTCTAAAGTTATTCCAAATATATCACCAAGAAGACAGTTAAGGATCTTTCTAGGATCTTTGAAGTCTTGAAAATTTGTGGTTTTCGCAACATTGTCAACATTTTTAATCCCGTGTTGCCCAGTGTAATAAACTTTTCTCTTGATAACTGTGAAACACTCAGGGCGCGTCGCAGACAAGGCATCGTCCATAGTTGAAAACAATTCAGCAAATGGATTGCTGTCCACATTGTCACACATGGTTCTCTCGTTAAAACTCAATCACAATTACTGCAAGCAATAAACAATATTAAAAAACAATCCAAAATATCCTCGTGATTACTGCACACTACTCCGTTTTCATTCCGTCACGGAACATTATACGATACGCGTGTGTGCGCACGCGTGTACGCGTAAGTACTTACGTGCCGCACAAGCGGTCATACGAATTGCCTTTTCTACGAAACATTTAAAATGACGTTTGTAACATCGTTACTCCTACTATCGATTATAAAACAAATTGAATGTTACGGCTTCTTATTGAAAGATAATATTATATTTATAATTTGACTATATGTTTTCGATCGAAGAATAAATGATGTAAGTGTGTACATATTAAAATTTCTTTACGATATAAATGACTCATGCAAATATGAAAACTATATTTTATACGAAACAAATTTATTAAAAAATTCAGGCACAAATTGGATGTGTTTACATATTAACGTAATGTGCATATACTAAAACAATAATAGAAGGCACTATTATAATTTTACCGCCATGGTTTCCGTACAGTTCCAGCACTGGTACTCCTTTTAATACTGT